CACACACACACACACACACACACACACACACACACACACACACACACACACACGTGCGAGCGGCTGGTGGAGCTCAAAAACATTGAGGCCATAAAGTTTGACATATGGAATGGTGAGTTAATCAAAGACTCCAAACTCCCAGCTGGAGCCGACACATGGGAAAACATTTTGACATGCATACTTGAGAATGTTCCTCTAATGTTGTGTCTTATGCATGTGTGTGGAGGGTGGGGTAAATAAGCATGTTTCTCATGATAAAGTCATTCATGTAATCCTTTGTAGTGATGGTGGTATTTATGTACTCGTATTTTTACCAGCCAGTTCTACTCTTATACCTTACAGGCTACTGCTGGTAATATGGGCAATTCTGCAAAGTTATAAAAAGTTATGAGAGGTTACTACTGCCATTCGACCAACCTTAAAAAATGTATTATTACTTGAAGTAAAAAGTGATGCAGCAAATATTTATAAAACAGAAAAAGATAAATACATAGACAATTTGATGACTGTTTTAGTAATCTGCTTGTCCTAAAATGCCCCTTTGTATAAGGCACTCAAAGCTTATACAGTATATAGGTTTGGCCTATAAACAGTCTAAATTTAAATGTTTTAGCTACAGTTTTTTTCTAGTATACACAGTAACAAAAATCAAATTTGAAAAATGTGCTAAAACATCGGATTGTATATGGTAAAGAAAACAAGACTAGTGAACTACTGAGCTTCTTCGTTAGGTTGGTTAAAAAGCTCCTAAGACACACTGCTTTAAAGGTGAGCAGTGAGCACAGATTACGGATTTCTAGAAAGACATACGCTGAGGCGGTCTGAAGGCTAATGAATGACATACAGGGTGATAGATAACAGTAAAAAAAACAAAGCCACAAAAAGAAGATGAGAGCAGAAAACGAGTAGAGAGCACACAGAGGCAAAGAGGCCTTCTCTGTTTTTAATCTTGCTTCCTACTGAAGGGGATGATAATATAATGTAGTGCTAATGAGGGAACACATGCATGGTCCTTAGCTTGCATAACTACTGAGTGACTAATAATCATACAAGTTGTTTCCTTGACATAAACTTACAGTCGGAGTAAAACAAAGATAAAGCTTATGGTTCAGATGAAAAAATATTCTACTCCACTGATCTACTCTACTCTCCTTGTAATGAAAAGTTTCAACTGTCACTGAGACCATATTTGTTAGAACATCTGATAAGCCAAAGAGCCAGCTGCTAGCAGAATGAGAGGAGAGCAAGCATGAGAGACTGAGAGGCAGGCTGAGAGGGGGCCATGTAGTTAGATTCCATCTGCTGATCTGCGTCAGTCCAAGGCAGGCCTGGCACATCTACAAAAAGCTGGTGTACTTTAATCAGTAAATGCATCAATGCCAGTAACAGAAGGCATTCACGCAAAATGTATTCTTCACTTTAAAGCTATGAGTTTGGTTTTCTTTTTTGTCTGTTCTTGCAGGACTATTCTGAAAGATAAGTTATAATTTAGGCGTATTCGTTTACCTCAATACGTGTTCGTAACCAGTTGAATGTTTGAATGTGAAAGAGTCATACAGCCACAAACAGCGCTTATGTTTGCATAATTCCTGTTTTGGCTAGTGTTTCTTTACATTCAGCCATTATGTGTTGAATATATGTTCAGGCAAGTTGCTACTTCTGGTATGTACCTTCCGCTCTAAGTAGCCGTCTGTGACAGCCACTCAGACCAGTCTGTACATAAAATCAACAATATAATCACAAACATATTCACACAATGGTTTATAAAACTGTATCATGTTTTACCTAAGAAAAGACTATTAAATGTGTAGTGCCTTTAAAAGTCAGTAGTAAAAAACCCCAATAAATTTCTTCAATACTATAATGTCAATAAATGTAACTTAGGAAACTTATGGCTCAATGACTGCTATTTACTGTAAATACTTTCTTTGTCTTTGTACATGTACAGTAATAATGAAGACAAAAAAATCTTTATTAAAACTCTTGTTTAGGGTGAAATATAACATACATGTAGTTTTTAATGGAGATATACTGTATTTTAATATAAATTTAAAGGATTTTTTGTAGTATTAAAATATTTGGTTATGATTTTATTATTGATCATTCTACTCACCCATCTATCTCTCCTTCTCCAATTCTTACCCAAGAACAGAGGCAAAAGTCAGTCCACAGCCTGACCCCTCTCCAAATTTCCTTTTCACCAACTACATCTTCAGATCCACACAAACACATTCCAAAACCAGTCAAGAGATTTGATTTCTCCAGCGAGTTTTGCCTCTGTTCAGTAGGCTCATCCAACTGTTTTCAAAATATGAACTAAAGCAGTCTATTTGCTGAAACTTTATTCTGCTTGTTCACACAAAAATACCAAAAGGAATTTGTGTGTGCACAACATTAACGTATGGTAACTTTGCATAGTGAGACAAGCTAACATGATAGCCCATCCAGTAAAATCTATATCATGCATGGTTTCATGAGCTGATGACAACAGCATTACATAGCTTGGCAGAGCAAATGCGTATATTAAAACCTGCTGGTTTATCGTATGGTGTCAAAAACCATTCTGAGTTAAATGACATCCGCCACAGCAACCACCCAAGTATGTGGTTTTTCAAACTGTCTTTATCAATCACATGTAGCACCCCGCTCATGGCTCCTTCAGGGGCAGAGACACACAATCAAAAGGCTGCTTGCCTGTGCCAAGGGAGCACTGCAAACTGTCAGCTGACGAAAGAATGGAAAAACTGTGTTTTGAGTTTGGTCCGTGGAGGCTCTAGCCAACAGGAAAGCTCCAGTGTTTTCCTCTCCATGGAGCATAATGGATTCTCCCCGCCAATGAAACTCTATTCCGGCTGGCAGACTGAACCARCAGCCACCTGAGAGCTTTTCCCACAATACCCCATTCCCTTTCAGAGCCATGCTGGGACAGATGTAAGGATGAGAGAGCAACTGAAAAAGGAAAACGTACAAAAATGCAAGCAGATGGTGAAAAAGAGCACTTGAGGGAAAGATGGCATCTCCGTCACTGTCTRAAAAAAATCTTTGAAGAATTATTTCTAAGCCATTTGAAATCACTGTCTATAAATAAACATGTAACACAGTACAAGTATTCTCAGAGATTTCTACAATAACCAACAAAATACACAAACACCCAGCTATCTCTTACCCACCCATCTGTGCACTTCTTCAGCCACTTCTGCCCATGTTCAGCTATTTTGTTGGCTTTATAGACTTGATACAGACAGGCACACAATGACGGCAGAAGCAGTAAAATGACCAATAGAGATGGATGAAAGTTTTATCATCTTACAAAACATTTAATCTAAACACAATTTTGAATTTTTGGCACAATAAATAATTACAGTATTATATCTAATAAGGCTTTGTACCTTCTTTCGTTGTCATCCAGGTGAGCAAACAGCACATTCTTAGAGATGGCTTTAGCCAAGGCAGTCATGGTCTTGTAGTCTTTAGGAATCACCTGTGTAGACAAAGAAGTAATTATAGTAAACTGGACAGCAACAACAAAGAGCAGGTGGACGCATGAAACAAACCAACACAAACACGTAATACGACCCACTTCAAAAGAAAACCAAATTGAGTAATTATAGAGCAGAGTATTGGCAAACTCTGAAAGAAACATCCCACACGTGCATCTGTGTATTTTTGGGAAGGCCCATCTGTTCAGGGATAGCACTAAAAAATCTCACAGACCTTAAAAATTCACAAGAGCACTGAAATCATTCATAAAACATGCATTTTCATGTCTCAGACGTTGCAGTGTGCACTTGTGAAGAGGGAATGGCAACATGTGAAGCCACAACAAAGCAGCCGAACGCAGAAGTCTGTGTTTATGAGTAGAAGACAATTTACACTAATTTGAACATGGTACAGAAAAGGCAAGTAATAATAAAAAGATAAAGGAGAAGAGAGTTTTAAAAAAAGACCTATTTTTTTCTAAATGACTGAGGAAAGGCGCAAAGTGTGTGCGTGTGTGCGCGTGCACAAGCGTGCATGTGTGTGTGTGTGTGTGTGTGTGTGTGTGTGTGTGTGT